AGTGTTCTAGCAATTTTAAAGTGTGTTTATAATTGTAAACTTCAGAAAAAGTGTCCAAAATGACTGCCTATTGTAGCGATTCTAAGAGATTGGAGGCTGTTGCCGAGACTGCTATTGCAGAGGATGCTTCGTCATTCATTAATGTTCTTTACCAAGCCAAAATTCAGTGACTTCCATGTAGTTCAACGTCAACAAGCCGAATCTCAGTGACTTCCATCTGTCACATACCGTGACAGAGACCCAATGTTGAGAAAATACAGTAATATATATTTTTAGTTTCCTGTTATGTGTTTATAATAGTCGTGGACCCCTTAACAGTGATGAGACTCTTCTTATGATTGACAACATACATATGTACCCATTCATGGGCTGGGTATCTAAACGGCCCGGCCTGGTCCCCGGACAGGTTTGGATATGTTTTTTACTTTTTAGCCTGCGGGCATGACTTTGGGCCTAAAAGTTCGGCTTGATTGTTTTTTGGAATAGGTTTGGGATTTGTCAAAAAAGTTCGGCTCATCTTTTTATATAATATAAAATATATAATTATTTTTTATAATTTATAAATCCAAAGTAACCATTTCCCTCTTTTCATCGATCTCACTTCTCACTCTCTGAGTCTTAGTCTATAACTCAACGAACCAATGGTAACTAGCAAGTAACAACCACCGGTGCTACCAATGAACTAACAATCTCTGGCAAGTCAGCGTCAAGCATAAGCTAGCAGCAGCAGTTGGCAATCTTTTTTTTTTTTACTTTACCTTTTCCAGCGAACTCAGGCACCGGCACCACCAATAAACTAGCAATCTCTGGCAAGTCACTGTCAAGCATAAGCTAGTAATGGTAGGCGGCAACCTTTTTTTAACTTTACCTTCTCCGACGAACTTAGGTAGTAGCGAGCTAACAACTAGATCCTCTCGTCTCTCATTGTTTTTATCATTCTCTGACGGCGACAAACTAGGCTAGTAGTGGCAGCTAGCAAGTGACCAGGTCCTCTCTCTCTCTTTCTCTCTGTTCTGATATAAGGAAGTCTGAACTTTGCTTTTTTTTTTTTGAGTTTTTGCTGTTGCTTAATCAAGTTTAAATTAATTTATTTTCCTTCTATTGTTAGGTTGGACTTCAGGCTCGGGCCCAGGCTTCGGGCTTTTTATGAGGGTCAGGTTTGGGTCTAAGTTGAAGGCCCGTTGGTCGGGCATGAAAAAATCCTATTAATGAAGAGTGAAAGCCCGACCCATGAACAAGTCTATATATGAAGCTGACAAGCTGAAAAACGAAAACAGGAAAGCTAAGGTAACTTGTTTGAGAGTCAAAGAGAATTATGAAACGGGGTTCAGTTTTAATTACCAGGAGAAATAATGACTACAACTACATGTAGTCTTTGAAGACGGACACTAAAACAACACCCAAGAAAATATGTTTAGTTATAGCTGAGTTTTCCAACTCTTTTGACTTTCAAGTAGCTGATCATGTTACGACAACCCATAATTAATATTTTAATTATCAAAGATAAGAAAATGAATTCGAATTCATCTTGATTATAAACTTGTAGTTAGATATTTAAAAGAAAAGAAAAACAATGGGAATGCCTTGGTGTTGTAGGATGGGTATACTATGACAGTGAGATGGGTGAAACTTCGAAGTTCAAACTTCTAAATTTGAAAAATCTCAATTTGGTGTTGTGGGGGCTTTCTGTTAAGGTTATGTTTGATTTGAAAGAAAAAGTAGGAAAAGGAAGGGAAATATAGGGAAACCTATACAAGATTTGTATAGATTTTTTTACTTTTTCCTTCAAACCAAACACATCATAAATTTAAAACGTGTAATACAACAACAGGATCTACGATTTTATAGCATGGGCAGAACAGGGTCGGTTGCTAGTTGTTACGGGGTAGAGATATGGAAAAAGACTAGAAAAACCAAGATTTTTTCCTCTGCAGTTTTCCTTTTCATTTTTTATTTTGTTATTTTTCATTGAATCACAGGGAAAAAGATGTTTTTTTTCCTTCCTCACTCTAGAAGAGAGCAATGAGTCGAGACTCTTTGTTGTGTCTGAGAGAGAGAGAGAGTGAGTGAGTGAGTCAATCAGTGAGTGAGAGAGTGAGAGCTCGTCATCCTTCTCAATTCAATCCATAAGAAGATAATGTATAAAATCCCAGACCCAGAGGAAAGAGGAGCCAAACTAGCAGGTCTTGGTGGTGTGAATGGAGAGAATTAAAAAACTAAATGTGCAAATGCGTGAGGCATGCGTATCAAAAGGAGGCTTTTGTTGAGTTAAAATGGGGTTACTGTATGTAAAATCATTCATAAGGGTAGAATGGGTATTTGGAAAAAAAAGTGCATTGGTCTAATGTTTTTCTTCTTGGAAAGTAACTAAAGGAAGGTTTTTGTCGAGTTTCTCAAAAGTTTAGGAGAGGTATTTATTAAAATAAGACTATAGAGGAGGTTTTTATGATTGTTAGAAACTTGAGAGAAAGTTTTTGTATGTTACCCTAAAAATAAAACAATTGTCAAACTCTAATTTGTTCATTAAAGAGATTATAGAACCTTATGACAACTAAATTGTCCTTCCTTTAGAAAATATGACATTTTGATGGAAATTTTAAAGGGGAATGATTGTTCAGCCCACCTCAGAATTATTAGCCCCAGGGCACAGGTGAGATGAATCCTAATGGTGGATTGATGCTAAATCCATGGGCAGGATGTAGTTTATAAGGAGGGTTATTACTAGATTATGGGGGGATGTAATTTTAGAATTCTGCTGTATATTTTTCAGAAATATTTTAATAATATTTATGTACATCAAGTTAAGAAATTGAAAAATATCTACAGAAAGGTGCGGAGAGGCCCGAAGCAGTTTTCTAAATTCCAAAGTAAAACTATAAACATTCAAAATATGAAAATCTCCTGCTCTATGCGCTGCACCAATTGTACTTTGGGCCTAAAAATTCTAATCCTGGACTGAACTGTAATTCTACCAAATATCTAATCCACTATACGGATGATTCAATGGCGGGTCCCACCCTGGCAGGCTAACCCTTATATTTGGGAAAAATTAAAAATCAATACTCGTACCGACTTTGACGTGCATTATTATTCACATGTGACAGCAATTTGAGATGTTGAAAACGCCACGTCTTGTGAGGGACCCAATAGGGGGTGTTTATTACACGATCATCAAATCAAATCAATCAAACTAAATCATAATTTGCATAAAAAACTTTTTAATTCTAATTAAATTGATGCACCAATTACTTTTTCTTTTTTAAGAAAATGGCCCATGGGCACTTCATTGATCACAATTTGCTGTAAAAATCTTTTTAATTCTAATTAAATTGATGTACCAATCAAAGTTCAAAAAATTGACCCGTATCAGCCCGTATTGACTGATACATATCATATCAGGAGCACTCTGATACGCCTCCTATAAAGGGTGTATCGGGGTTTTGACCAGTTCAAGGGGTGGAGGAACTTTAAACCGGTGCATATAAACCAAATTTGAAAAAAAATAAAAAAAAAGTTTAAAAATATTAATACTGCCCAATACACTCCTACCGACATATCGGATGTATCAATATTTAGAACCTTGATACCAATTACTTATTTTTTTTTAAGAAAATAGTCCATGGGCACTTCATTGATCAAGATGTTCAGTTGCATCCCGCTGTAAAATAATCTTTGGAAAAGGTGGAATAAAAGACCAACTATAACAAGTGGAACAAATGAGGCCAGATCTAACCAAAGTATGGGTGCCCAACATTTGAAGATCTGGGAGAATATATATGTAACTGAGACATCAGGCAGGTGAGCCAAGATACTCTTACAGTTAGAAATGAGAGTACTGATATTCCACGGAGGTTGGAGAGAGCCATTCAACAAGAGATTAATAATAGAAGCGCAGTCACCTTCAAAAATAGCTTGAGAAATATCGGTATATAAAGCAAACTGAAGACTTTCAAACAGAGCTTTTGACTGAGTGATGAGATCTGGGTGAGCATTAAAAGGTATAATATTCTAGCATACACCAAGGATCCATGGTGATCCCGATAACAATTCCTGGAGCAGAACAAGAAGTTGAATTTTCTCCATGTATCGAAGTTGATTTTCACAAAGCCTTGAAGAGGTTTAATCAACTTATGATCAGTGATGTTAGGATTAGGAGTAGAACAGCTTCTATTACAATGATTCAATGATTTTATCATAATTAGAAGAAAATATTTAATATTCATGCCAAGGTTCAAAAAATCGACACGTATCAGCCCGAATTAGCTGATACGTATCATATTGGGAGAATCCTGATATGCCCCTACAGAGGGTGCATCGGGGTTTTGACCAGTTCAGGGGGTGGAGTAACCTTAAATTGGCCCCCTGAACTGGATTTGAAAATAAAATTAAGAAAAAAGTAAAAAAAAATATATCGATACTGCCCAATATGCCCTACTGACGTATCAGGCTATCAATATTTAGAACCTTGATTCATGCAAATATATATGTTGTTTGAACTTTATAATTGGACTAAACCCGATAAAATGACTAAAACCATATTAAAAATCGCACCAAACTGAACCATAAACACGCTTCAGGCCCAAGATGAAATCTGGTTCGTTTTCCATCACAACTGGTTAAATTTTATCTTAAAAATACAAGATTAATCATTTTTATTATAAGAGAAATACATACTACTAATTAAGGATATCAAAAGTGGTAAACAATCAACTAGTATCATTAAAGTGGTAAACAATCAACTAGTATGTGGGTGGAAATCAAAATTCACCGAGGGTTTTGTGGATTGCGAATTATGATAAGAAAAGTACATCCCACGTGTTTTTTGTTTCTCCTTGGAGATGGTGCATATAATTGAAGTTCTCATCTACTTTTTTGCTGGCCTTTGCATGTATAAATAGATGGCCATTCTACGATTGTTCTCATAACAGCTCCTCTTCTCTGGTTCTACAATTTGTTTGAGTTGCTAGTGTTTTCTTCATGTTAAAAGAGAGAAGAAAATATGAAGATTCTTTACATTTCCATGGCTCTTTTAGCCCTTATTTTCTTGTGCACCTCTCATGCTGTTGAGACTCTGGATGCCCAAGAAGTTGCTTTCTACTACTTAGTCCTCCAGGTTCTCTCTCTCTCTCATTGCAAAGCCAGTTTGTGTCCCAAAAAGAGTGAGGAATTCCCCAGATTCTGCTAGTTTTAGTACTTATTCCACTATCAGTTTATCAAGGAACCCTTCAACCTAAAAGCTTAAGCTGTTAGTTGAGGTCACTGAAGAAGTTTTTATTCTCTAACACAGTTATACCATTAATGGGCAAATGCAAGCAAGCTCCAAAACCCAAATATGTTGTCCATCATTGCAGGCACCATTTGAATGGACCCCAAAATGCAATCAGAACTATTTATGAATGAAAGTTTGTCAACTTTACCTTGTCCATCCAAATTTGTACCACCCACACAATTAACTAACCTAAAGTAGCACCAGTAACATTATATAGCATTTCGAGTAAAAGCTTAGAAGGTGTTTTCTCTGTCAGTGTTCTACATATTTATCATTTCTGTTTTTGGGTTGATCTTTTTAAACTAGTAAAGAAATTTGCACTTTATCATTATAGATCTGCACAGTCAGATATATCTTATGTGTGGATTCATTTTATCTCAGTTTGGATTATAAATCTTCAGTGGCCAGGATCATATTGCAGGCAGAGCAAAGCAGGATGCTGCCTTCCAAAGACTGGGGAGCCAGAACGAGACTTCTTTATTAGGAGCTTGATTCCCTGCTCCCAGAATGGAAAACAACTCAAGAAATGCAGCAGAAGTCCTTTTGACAAAAATGAGGTAGTACAATATTCAATTAACAACAAATTCCTCTTTACTCTCTTTGAATTTGCCACACCAGAACTAACTCAAGCTATGGACATCAAAATCCTTACAGCTCTCTGACCTGTTGGATCAACTTAATTTGTACTGGTCTAACATCAAATGCCCAAGCAACGATGGGAGATTCTTGTGGAAAAGTGCATGAAAAACATATGGAGTGTGCTCTGGGCTTAGTCAACATGATTACTTTGAGAGGGCATTGAAACTTAGATCTGATGCCAATATGCTTAGCATACTTGGGGAGAATGGTGACTTGCTCCCTCACTTTATTGATGAACAATAAGCTTCTGATTTCTGATGTTTGCTTATCTAAGTATTTCTGTATTCTCCAACATGGGCATATGCAGGTATTATTCCTACAGATTATGCTGACTACAGTCTGTTTGAAGTAGAGGAAGCCATTAACAATGAACTTGGAGATGCAGCTGCAATTCGTTGCAGTGTTGATTATAAGAATGGTAAATGTCAGCTTTATGAAATCTCTGTCTGCGTGGACAAGGATGCAAACAAAATCATCCCTTGCCCAGTTCTGCCCAAGTTCACTTTTGGTTCCCGTGTTGTGTTTGGTACCTTCACATATGACATGTTGAACAAGTCTACTTCTCTATCTCCAAACCCCATTAGAATGCCAATATATGAGTGACATTGGCTCTGTGTAATCGACCTACTTATGGTTTGATGAAAAATATAATAAAAAATGAGATCTTCTCAGGCATAAGTGTATCTTGGGTGTTCAACTGAGGAATGGTAGAGTTTCCTCTGCTCTCTGCAACACATGAAATAAAAGAGACAATATTCATCTTGTTATCTCACTTTTCTATTTGTTTCAAGTACCAGTATGTTAAACTTGTTGATTAGAAAGAAAGTTTTTTTTACATCTTCTTCTCAGTATGTTGAACTTAGAACAATAGAAACATAGTGCAGATAAAGATTATTAAAATCTGATTAATATGCATCTATGCAACTCATAAAACAACTACACCTTTCCTGGTGACTGAATTTATCCTTTTCTTTTCCATTGATGAACACGGAAGAAATGACCCAGGAAGCTAAAAGTGCACAACTTGATCATTCAAGCAAAGTGCAAATCCACATCTCCCACATTAACCATACATTCCTTTCCAGCTCTTCTTAATAATTTGAAGTCCAAGCAAGGTGCATATAAATAATTTCTAAGATGCTTTTACCTGAGACACAGAACATCATTAACTAGTCCTAACAGAAGATCCAACATTGTCACTTAACCAGAAGATGGTGAAGACTCAACTTGGTTTTTGTGAACATGAGCAATATCAGAAAAGACTCAATTTGGTGGACAACTAGTGTGGCATCAGAATTGAAATTTGTTTAGAGCTAGAGTCATCATGAGGCACCTTGGATCAATCTAATTGTGGGTGAACTCTAACTATGAACTGCCAAGTTCAAGTTATAGTTTCATCTTCCACCTAGTCTTTCAGAAAGCAGTGAAGATAACAAAATTATTGATATTTTTTATCAATGCGACAACAATCAATGCTGAGCAATCAAAATCATCAGGAAAAATATCAATAATGATTCACTTGTACAAATAGATAGCAGTGATCATGAGCTGGGCTTAGCACCTATAACAAGGGTTATAGTCCAGGCTTGGGCTTAGGTCTGTATGGGTTCCGATAGGGCGTGGCTTTGGGCCTGACATTTTTTTTGAAATCCGGGCCTATGACTTTAAATAATAAAAATTTAATTATTTATAATATTTTGTATTATATGATGTGTACCATATGTAATACAGTGTTGAATGGGCTCGGACTAGGTTGGGCTGGGCTTGGCTTTCGGCCTATGACACTAAATAACATGGTCTTCAACACTTATGATTGTCTATCCTTTTATAGTTCATTCTAACAATTAGGCCATGTGAGACAATGCTTGTTCATTCATTACTCAATGGTGAGTATTTTCCCACGTCACCTAATTGTTAGAATGAAAGTCTTGCTTTCATTCTATATATGGATAGTTAATTCCATTGAATAAGCTATTCTCTCACATGAGTTGATTCACCTGTCAATAAGGTTTAAAATTTCGCAACGCATTGGCCCATATTGGCCGATACATATCATATCTTTCTAAGGGGGCGGTATGGGAAACACTACAAAATCCTTTGTAGCATATCTTTTCGTCGTGCCGACCCATATTGGGGATGTATCAAGGGTGTATCGGGGGCGTATCAGGGTGTATCAGGGGCGTATCGACGACTTTTCTATAGCTGAAAAACAAATTAGAAACTTTTGAGAAAAAATGCTTCTAATTCTCTCTAAAAGCTTTATTTCTCTCCCAAACTCACCAAATCATCCCTATACATGATTTGGTTGTAAGATCTTAAAAAAAAAAACAAAAAGAACCGCCAAAACTCAGATTTTTGTAGTTTTTTCAAATTTTTTCAAAAATTGCAAAAATAGGTATTTTTCAACTTATTTAATAATATGTTGCAATATTTTGTATTTGTTTTTTGTTTTGATGCTTGGAAATGCTTCTATATAGATTGATATAGTCTCCTTGTGTTGATAATCCTATATTTTTTGTTCTTTAAATAGATCTATGTAATTTTTAATGAAAATTCAGAAAAATATAAAATAACAAAAAAAAGAAAATTTTATATTTTTGGTGTAATCTACCCATAAAGAATAATTGTGTCATAGATCTATGGGTGATCTACCATCTCCATATATATATTGAAATTTCTTGTAAAATATTCACTTTTTTTGTAATTTTTATTATAAAAAATATTTATTTTTTAATTTTTTGAAATTTTAGAATAAAAATATTTATCTTTTCTAATTTTTTTATTCATAGATCTATTGAAATTTCTTCTGAAATATTTATTTTTTTTATTTTTTAATTATTAGAGTACAAAACATTTATTTTTTCTAATTTTTTGTGTGATCTAACCTTTACCATGTAAATCTATGAATGATTTATCACATCCATAGAGTTATATGTTGTTACATTTTTTAATTTTTGGAATAAAAAATAAAGTAATTATTTAAATAAGAAATAAATACTTGTTTAAAAAATTACAGAAAAATGTTTCCTTGAATAATTATTAGGCTTATATTTTGTAGTTATAACCTTATTAGAGAATACCATTATGTTTCCATATGTTGATTATGATATAATTTTTCATAAAAATCACTAAAGGATGTGGTTTTCATGTATAAATAACTCATTTTGGTCTATATTTAATGTTATTGATGTATTTTAATGATTTATTGGAGTATCTATAATGTTTTCATGTGTATCTTGATTTTTTGTCCGTATCCATGTGTATCCAAGGTGTATCCTGATACGTCTCTTAAATTTGCCTTTTCGATACACTCACTCAACATTTTAGATACTTTAAACTTTGCCTGTCAACTCATGAATATGTATATACTAGTTGGGCCTCAAGCAATGCATGAGAAAGCCCAATACCCAATATGATGAAAAAGGATTTGAATGGAATTTCCTATAATTTATGGTAATGTTCTGCAATTTTGCAAGTGTCCTATAATTAACTGATATGTTTTGGTAACTTTCTATAATTTATGTGAATTCCCTATAATTTCTGAGAATTTTCAATAACTATTGTTAAATTGTGAGAAATTTCAAATTTTGATGAAAACCTGGAAAGCCCAAATATACTTTAACTCATCTAAGAAATCAAGTTTCCAGTGAAGTTAGTTTGAGTAGCTTCTTCAAAGTGGCTCAACCAATACAGCTCAATCAATACAGTTCAATCAAAGTTGAAGCCCTAGGCTCTCAAGTAGCAAAATGTAGGCATATAACTTGTATGGGCCCAGGTTGAACCGAACTGACCTGGCCCACAATTTTATACAAGTTGGGATTAGGTTTTCAGTCCTCATGCTAGGCTTGGGCCCAAAAGTTTAGGTTTTTTATTTTCCAGGCTGGGCCTAAGCCTTGTTCTTAGGTAGATCAAACTCAGCTCGACCTTACCATGAACTGAGTTTAGACCGAATATGTACACAGACACACACACATTTGCATGTATACATATTCATACATGCACAAACCTTGCATATATACATGCATGCATATACACATACATTCATATTAAATTTTAGTATGGGGAAATTGACTAATCAAGCCTGGCTAGGCTAGAGCCGAACCTAAGTACATCAAATTTAGTGTGGGTTGGTGTTATGGTCACACCATCCGGCAGCGCACTGCGGCGCAGTCATAGGCAGCAGCACGCACAGCAGGCCGCACAGCAGCAGGCATCGCCTGGCAGCGCCGCACAGCAGCACGCACCGCCAGGCAGTAGCGCACACCGCACGCACTGCACAGCAGCATGCACCGCACACACGCCTGGCACCGCACGGCAGCGGCACCATGAGTCGCGTGCACGCACTGCGCGGCAGCGGCACCATGAGCCACACGCACGCACCCAGCAGCAGCAGCAGAGCGGCACCCACACGATAGCTCATAGGGGTGGGCCCACCCTTATCTGGACACGTCAAGCCAACTCACCGCCAGCTTATCTTATCCCTTATCCCTTATCCCTATCTTATCTCTTATCCCTTATCCTTATCTTATTTTATCTTCTTAAGTAAGAGTTATGAGTTTTAGTTTGAGTAGGAAATTAGGAGTTTTAGTTTGAGTTGGATTACCCTAGTCTAGCCGAATCCAACAAGGAATTCTCTTCTGTAATCTCCTATTTAAGCAGCTCGAATTGAAATAAAGCATTCAGTTTTTCGCAGTCAAGAAAGAGAGTAAGGAGAGTTTGGGTGATCTCTTGGACAAATCACCCATTAGGAGAGTTTGGGTGATCTCTTGGACAAATCACCCACGCGACTGCCACAATAGGGTCTGCACGCAAGGGAAGGCGCCAGGAAAAACAGGGCTTTCGCACCGTGAACCGACCCGTGACGGGATCCTACGTGCGGGACCATAACAGTTGGGACCAAATTGGACATTTCAGGCTTGACCTCGAACTTGGACTGAACTCAAGCCTTAGGCCCAATACTTAAGATTGGGCATAGGTTGAACTTAGACCCAACCCAGCCCACCAGAATAGCACCCCTAGCAAGATGGGGCCAAGGATGAACCTAGGCTTCAAAATGTCCTCGCCCAGTTAGGTTCAGCTTAGGAGGAAAACTCAGGTTGCCAGATCTATGGGTGTCCATTGGACCGATTACCCACACATATATGTCCGGACCCAAGCCCTATTAAATGCATTAGTTCGTCTTGTCAGATTTTGGCTTAGGGGTTTATCATGCTCGATTGTAAAGCAAACTTCACTAAGGCTCAGTTTGGAAGGAGTGCAAATACAAATATGTAGAGTGCAAAATCTTGTATTTTATATTATTTTGTATTGCATTGTACATATTTGTAACTGAGCCTAAAAAACAACCATTCTTCTCAAGGACCCAATCCAATCCATTACAATCAATTTTAACTTGATTTCCTTGATAACTCTGATTTGATTATCTTCAGAAAATTGTTCCAATGGATCGGGTCACCAATTTCTAATAACACTAATCAAGGGGTTGTTCTGTAATGTGGATGAGAAATTAGGTGGTGTGGATAAATTCATATTACCCCACAATCTAGAGTTGCTTTGTAGCATAGACAAGCTGTATGGACTAAACCACACCAAACCCATGAAAGCATTCTACAAGGTGGTGATCAACACTATTGTGTCTCACATATAAAGTGAGATGATCAACATTGTTGATCTGATATAAAAATTATAATGTTTTACAAATAAGGTATTGTTCTTTTGGTATAAAGTCCGATGTT